CGTCAGCATGAATGTTCCAGTAAAGCCAATCGACAGCTGGTCAAGAGGAATTCGCCGTCGTCTTGTGGTGATACCGACCTTCGAATATCTTCACCCAACACTTTCACTCGAAATGGAAGTAAGCTCAACAATCGGTGTTTTTTTCGTGAATAATGGTTTGTGGCTCTGACGCTATCCACCACATGACGGGCAAGAGCTCAGCACGGAGCCATCGGGATCTTAGGCCGGCGATCCGAGTTCTTTTTACATAATTCAACAGGCAAAAGTCCAAGGCAACAATCCTTCGGTATCCAGTGAGGCCAATCTACGAATCCGCTCGACCCGCCTTTTCAAACGAAATGAAAGGTATGCCAGTATCCATCTTCTAAGGGATTTTTCCAAACCCAGCTTCTCTTCATAAAAGAGAGGTTATCCTTTGACGAATAGACTTATCAGCCAAAAGGATGTGACTGCTGTAGGACTTTGTTCGTTTAAAGAGGTGATGAACTGTTTGTGTCCATAAGGTCCACGATAATGCATTGTCATGGTTGTTATTCCGGCCTTCAGCCAGACTGGGCATAGCTACAGGGATTTGTGGCTCCTCATCGCGAACGAGATGGTAAAGTGCTTGTCCATGGGAGGGTCAAAGGAGTGAACCTGCTTTCAGCTCGATGGAGGCTGGGGATCCGAGTGAATTGGAGGCAAATGTCTGCAAAAAGCATGTGACAAACATGAAAAATTGTCATGTATATTTGTATGTAGCACCTGGCATATATATATATTTTGTGTGTGTGTGTGTGTATGTGTTTATGTATGCGTGTGTGTCAGGCGGAGATGGAGCTAGGGTGGTGCTAAGTGTGCGATGAGAACGTGTGGGATGCTCATTTGGACATACTCAGATCCGAGTTCCAGAGGAGTTGGCCTGAAAATATGGCTGTCTATTCGGGTAAGCATCGTACAGCCCTCCGTCCCGAGGCGATCATACCCCGTTCGCGACGCATGTGCACGCCTCATCAGAATTCTGGCGACCTTGTCTTTTAAAAGTATGGTTGAACTCGTATAATTCACACGCATAACCCACACAATAGAGGCTGGGTGACATATTTGCAGATACACAATCACATGCATGCAAAACGCATAAACAAAGGTGCTAGCGCGTATGTGCATGTGTGTGTGTATCTCCGTACTCTCTTTGTTTTCTAAGTTTCGCAAATGATCACGTATCATCAGTTAAATCACACACACCAACACATATGGGAAAAAATCAACGTACGTTTAGGGAATATCAACGGATAGACCTTTTGTGTTCGGTTATTTTGACCAATGAAAAAAACTGGCTGTGGGATGTGTTTTTGCCCTTTGGTTTGACGAAGTCATTATTAAAGACGACAGTCTCCTACGTCTTGGCCACGTGCATATGCAGCCGCGGCCGACGGACACTCAGAAGCGAACACACAAACATACACACAAAAACATGCGTACACACAATGCTCGGCACGTGCTAGCCTCTCCTCTGTCTCTGAAGGCCTATGTCACCCCGACTGCCCATCTGCATGAAATGGTGTGGGTTTTCCCGTACTGATGGTCGTGGGCGGGACAAACGAACAGCCGGACAGATGGGATTTGGCGAAGACGATTAGGAGGGGGACGACTTGGCTGCCAGACATCGGAGAGACCAGAGAATGTGCCAGTATGCTTAAACATGTGTATGCATTATGAGTGCTGTAGAAACAAAAGGAGGGGATGAATGATTAGGGTATTCAGGCAGCATAGCATGCATGATCGCTTGTCCAGACGATTCTGGGTGGCAGGAGGTGAGCAAAAATGAGTGTCGGTTCAAGGATTCAAGAAGATGCACCATTGTGTGACTCGCCTTGTCTGTGCCCTGCCATGACGAGGCTTCTGGTCGTCGAACCATCTTCCTCTGTTGCCTCCTTCGACGAGGTAGGTCATCGAATGTCTGGTTGACGCGATTTTCTATCAAAGTCCTCGTCAATTGGCAGGCTTTTAGTCGTGGCGCCTTAGACTACACTTTTGGCGTCGCAGCAAATCGGCATCGGGCGGGCATTCAGACCTGAGCCCATGATGGTATTCAGGCTCGAGCCGGGCTCGGCTCAGGCGGATACAAACCGACTGATTACAGAAGAAAACACCCAAATGCAGTTATTCTCCGTTTTTAT